GGGGGCCGTCTGGTCGGTCTCGCTGCTCCTTACGCTGCCCATGATGCTGATGGTCACCCTGACCGAGGGGGGCAAGGCAGAGGGCAAGGTGAAGAGGATCTGTGCGCCCACCTGGAGCGCGGATGCTTACCGGACCTACCTGACGGTGCTCTTCAGCACCAGCATCATGGCCCCGGGAATCATCATTGGCTTCCTCTACACACGCCTGGCCAGGACCTACCTGGAGTCCCAGAGGAACCCCCCCCACAAGGAGAAGAGCAAGAGATCTCCCCGGCAGAAGGTCCTCATCATGATTTTCAGCATCGTGCTGGTCTTCTGGGCTTGCTTCCTGCCGTTTTGGATCTGGCAGCTGGTGCGACTCTATAGCAGCTCCCTGCAGCTCACCACCCAAACCCAAAAGTGCATTAACTACCTGGTGACCTGCCTGACCTACAGCAACAGCTGCATCAACCCCTTCCTCTACACCCTGCTCACCAAAAACTACCGGGAGTACCTGCGCAACAGGCACCGCAACTTCTACAGGTTCACATCCTCCTTTCGCAAGAGGGGCTCCAACCTGCAGTGCTCCTGGGGACGGTCCATGTCCTCCAGCAACCAGTACGACTACAGCTCGGAAGCCCTGGGCATGGCCACGCTGAAGGACAAGTGAGGAAGAGGAGGCGCTCCGGAGACAGCAGGACCAGCAGAGCGTCTGGCCAAGGTAGGGCTTTGGGACCCCTTAGCCCCCCAGGGTCCTAAAAACTCATTTCTGGTGGTCACTCTGGTTAAGGGCAAAAAATTGCGTGAGCCCAGGTACTGAGAGACGCGTTTCAATTTCTGTCTGGCTCAGGGCTGTCTGGGGGGCTCCTGCCGGGAGCCCGCAGCCCTTCAGGACAAATCCTCTGGGTTTTGGGTGCAGAAGATGAGGTGGATACTTTGTTCAGTTCTGCAGCAAACTCTTTTACGCTTTGCCGAGTTTTGTCCAGCTCCAGCCCTGCCACCCTTGCTCCTGCATGGTTTCTCAGTGCTATCCTCAGGCTGCAGCTGGGTCAGATCTGCGAGAGTCTGAAATTGTCCTGGTATTGCTTAATTTAGCTGCAAGCCTCAGGTTTGCCCCACACGTTGCTGTTGTCTGTTCCTAGAGCCTCTAAAGAGACCTTTAAGCCCCTTTTCCCATTTCCTGTTACATTATAGGGCACTACACTTTCATCAAGCTCAAAGTCTCTATTTTAAAATTCATTGCAGCAGCACTTCAAACTCCAAAGCATTCAAAAAACCACAAGGTAAGCTGTCAGAAGCCACAGAATTACTGAAAAAAGAAACTTGTAATTTTTTAAGGTTTCTACCTTAGGTGATTTGAATTTGCCACTGTTGTGGTTTTTTTTAAATTGATCCGTTTCTGAACAGTCAGGAGGACTTGAAAAACTAAAAGTTTACCTTGGAAAGAAAGAAAAATGTCTTATAATCCTATCACTCAAAGACCTGAGGCTCTAAGAAAGATTACTGGATCCTATATCATGAGAATCATTATAAAAGGGATAAGCTTATTCATGACATTCCATCAAAAGCATTTTGCCTCAGTGTGTTCTGCTCATTTTCTCCCCATTTAGCGTCTCATAGTAAACCTTCACCACAGATACTAGAGATGCCTGTAAGCATTTAAACAATTGTAAAACCTCAGTTTATAAAATACATGCTGATTAAAAAACGGACCATGATCAGATTTCCCCTCGCACTGTCTCTTAACCCAGCTCAGGGGAATCTATTGACCAGGGGCTGCCATTCCCAGCTGTTCTCTGAAGAGCTCGCGTACGTGGGGATGAAGTTGGGTTCAATATTCCTCTTTCCTGTTCTGGGACAGACTCTGGGGATAGGTAAAGCACGGTAGAGTTGCATAAACTATTGCCAGCAGCTAGTGATGGCCAGGGACTTCTGAAACAGCAGGCAGTTCCTTAAGGAACAGTCATTTCCGCGTTCTGATGGCATACTCCGACCCCCATCTTCTTGAGAGGAGTCCCCCTCCAGCCCTGCAGTGTTACTGGGTTCCCGTGTCCTTGGGTGATCCTCTCGTGTCACACGCCAAACTTTCGGGTACGTTTGTGCTAAAGCAGAGACACGAAGTGCCGACACCAGAGCCAAGGACTGGGAGCAGAGAACACAGCACAGCAGCACTCAACTAACAGCAGAAAAATAAACCCGTCAAGGCACATGTTGGATGAAGACCAGGGAAGCACATTCCTGTGCCGGGAGTCAGGCATTCTTCTTATAGATGTGGTTGTTGGGGTGCTTTTTAGGGAGGGGGAGATAAGTAACTCGCCTTAGAATTGCTTGTATTGCTTTTAACCATGAGAGTGTCTTCGAAACACTGCTGACCACTTTGTCATGTCCCGCTATCGTGTAGGCTACCAAGCTGGGCAGTATAACCAGACCTAATGGTGCCCATTTCCTTACGAAATAAGGGGACTCACACACAGTGCATGTTGGGAATTGGCAGGGAGAGTGGGCTTCGACAGTTTTTAGGAACAACTTTTCAGGAACTAATTCATTTTGTAATCATTCATTCTGAAGTCATGGTTCCTTTTCCTTTGCTTCCCGATTCCGAGGCTGGAAGTCACTCCCAGATAAGAATGACAAAGATAAGACTTAACTCAAAAGGCGGTGTGGGAAGGCTGGAGTACGTGCGTCATCTACGAGGTGTGCTGCGCCGTCCTGCTCTCAGGGAGCGTAACGGTGCGGTGCGGCCGGACAGGCGCCCTGGCAGAGCCAAGCATGGCCGCATCCCTCCCAGGCGTTGCACATGCTATTTTTGCCACCTCTGAGGGGAAAAAAAAAAAAAAAATTCCTTATGGCTCTAGAAAGAAAAACGCACCTTGCTTTGGATCCTGACCTGACACCGTACTGATGTGTCTTGATTTCCATTGCTTGGCCCGAGGAGAAGGTCCTTGGGAGGCCACTTACTTACCCGCCACAGCGTTACAAGGCTGCTATAGGATGGATGATTACCATGTATGAAATGGTTGCAAGGCATAGTGTATTCCTATTAACGGGTATGTAAGGGGAAGCAGATGATGGAAGAGCTTTATAGGTATCAGAAAGAGTATTAGGGAATCTGTGCTTTAAAAAAAACACATTAAAACATCTAAAGCCAATAGTCTAAAAACATAGTTATTAATAAGAAGGGGAGGCTGAAAAGGAGTCGTGCCTAGGAAGAAAGGGATGAAGATGCAGAGCAGATGAGATCTACACTCGTAACCTAATGCGGGGTTAACCTAAAGCAAACAGAGGGTTTGATCGGAGGTAGGCTTCCCGAGGAGTCCCATCCGTCCCCAGGAGGGATTCTGCCACTCTGCTCAGCGTCTTGAATGGTGCGTAGGGGATGTACTTTCCGTGCCGCATCATCAGAGCGTTAAACATCAAAGGGTTCATGGATGGAGGAGCATGGAGGAGCATCCAGATGACGTGCGAAATACTGGGTATTTGTCACTCACCAGCTTTTTCAGCCAGTAGGTGCTTCAGCCCCGTTCCACCCCTGTGCTGCTTCTGGCTCCCATCAGGCTCCAACAAACCTGTACGAGGTTACTCTAACGAGAGAACCAGTAAATTTGATGACACCTACAAAGCATGTTACTGGGGCAGAGGAGAGCCTGTTTAACACGCAAAACTGGCCAGCAATCAGAAGATGTTGCTGCGTGTGATGAACGATGGCTCTTCAGCAGCGCGGGAAGCACGACGTGGTGCAGACCTTCGCCAACACGACTCCCCGGGAGCCTCTTGTGCTCCTGGGGATCAGAGCTCAATTTAAGAGATGAATTACATAAACAACATCTCTCTTATTGTCCCATTGGACCGGTTAAACTGCCAAAAGTCAGTAGGTTTGACCCACTTCATAAATATCTCACAAAAGCAGATGCTTTAACTGAGTTCCCCTTGGCTGTGATTGGGCAAGCCTTGACTCTTCTCGGTGTGCTTGTGTTTTGGAAATGAGGAGACAGTCTTCACGTACCTTCCTTTAACAATAACAATAAATTAATCTGGGTTTGGCTTTGGAGGGGGACTGGTGCTTCCTGTCTATAGCACAGGGTCCTGTCCGGGGCTGACACAACCTTTAAGTTACCCCTAAGGGGTAGCTTTGCCTGCGGCTGACCCAGAGTATTTTGGGGAGGGTATTGGGTTTGGTAGGATCTCTGTGTTCATAAGCACGTCTCCCTCGGTCAGTGCAGGCAGCGCAGAACTGCTGTAAAGCAGCTCAGGCTATTTTCTGTGTGAGAGAGAGGTGTCACCTGTCCTCAACAGTGAAAAGGACGAGTCGAGACTCCCAAAATCGTGATGTTAAAACCACACCTTTTCTCCACAACCACAGAGGCTGCAAAAGCATATGAAAATTGAGATAGACACATAATCAGAATGCAGACGATGGGACTTCGCAAAGTCTACGTATCTTGTCACTTATGGTAAATCTGAAGCATCTCAGGCCAGGGCTGAAGTAACAACAGGAAAGTCAGTCAGGCTGTAACTGAGGAAAATGTGATTTCCTTGAAACCAATTTTACCTTGGCTATTCTCCTACATTCCAAGAAGGCAAGCTATGTGTGCGCTGGGATCATTTATCATACCCAAATCATTGTAATCCTGTGATTTTTAATGTGGGGTTTTTTTAGTATAAACTAAATTTTGCAGCAGGTTTGGTGACGTAGCTAGCTCTTCAGCAAAACGGGAAGAGGTAATTTTAAGAAAGGCAAGCGCATTTCTGTTGTCGGGACAGAGATTGCCAACGCAAAACTCCATACTTGCTTTACAAGAAAGGAAATAGTTTAACCACTAGAAAATCTTTGCCAACACCCCTTAGCGTTTAGGTATTTATGACAATAAAAAACCACAACCCAGACTGTGAAAGAAATGCAGTTGCATCCTGAGTGCTCTTTCCTGCCTTCAATCTAAGGTAGCGTCTACGGCAGCAATGGCAATTTTTCTGCTTTCAGTTGAAAAGAGAAGACACCGGTCCTTTGTGGGACAAGTGAGAACGGTTGTTTTCCCCAGACACAGCAGAATCCACTTGAACCTTACGGAATTTTTGAAGACTTTACCTTCAATCGCGCATTTTTGATCATCTTTCTCCTCACTTTTTAAAACCAAATCTGCGATAAACACTCAAAAGCCCCACGTTACCATTGAATCATGAGTGCGAGCAAGTCACGAACGTTTTAACTCCTCTTTTAGCAGTCGTTTTTGGTGCTTAGTGTGTGGTTGAATACCAGGGCAGCCGGTGAAATAGAGGGGATTTTTATGAGCGCACGGTACAAAGCGCACGGCTTGCTGCCCGCTTGCATTAAGGGAGGAGAAGAGGCAGGATGACCAAGATCATAACCTGTTCCCCTGCCAGCACGATGAGAGGAGAAAGCGCATAAACCTCGTACCGGAGCCCAGCCCCGGCCACGGGAGCAGGTAACGCAGCGCCCGAGAAAGCCTGAAGGCAGCCCCAGGGAGGCAGGTACCTTTGCCGGGAAGTTTGGCCGGCTCGGAGACGCTCGGCTCTTGCCGTCGTATTTCCGAGTCCCTCTGGCGGCGGCAGCAATCCTCCATCCCGGGGCCTCGGCAAGGAAATTGCCTTTTTACGTTAGGCTTTAGAACATAGCGGTCGCACACAATCGGGGCACAACCCAACTATACGATAGCGTTTAGTATCTTTTAAGTATAACGTTAGTACGGTATCTGAAGGGGAAGAGACTTCCGTGAAGAGAACCCCCCCTCCCAAAGCTAGCTTTGCTCTCCCACGCTTCTTTCTATGCCAAACCCAGAGCAACTTTATTCCTGTCCTTTTGCACAGCACCCTCACTGCCAGCACCCACGGGAACACCCAGAGCCGGTGGCTAACTACAGTTTAGCCCAGCTGGGGGGATTTTTGCCTTAGAACATTGGTTTGTTTCAAGTTTTTCTGGGGAATTGAAGAGACACGGAGTTAATTATGTGGCTTATAAGAAATACATTGCTTTGTCTTCGGAATTGTCGCAGCAGCTTCACGGGATAGAAGTACCCTTTGCAGTTACTGATATTATCACTGTACGAGCTTTTTTGCCCTTGTTTGGGAATGCGTCTAAAACACAGCAGAGGGAACGGATGCCTCAGTTGGTAGCAAGGTATCCGGAGGGTTTGGAGTTTTGTGAAAGCAGAGGAAGGAGCCCGCTGCTGGCTCGCTCGGCTAAACCTCTGGGATGCACCGAGCTTCTGACAGACACCCAACATTGAAAGAAGTTATTGAGGGATATCAAAACCCTAAAGAGGCCATACATTAAAAGGTATTAAAAATTATTAATATTTCTGCTTGGGAATCCAGCCTTCTGCCCGCACCAAGTTTCCAGCGTGCTGTATCTCGCCTTTGGGGGAGACTAACTTAATCCTAGCTCGATCACACCAAGCTTTGTGATCTGGGGTCCTAACTAGAGCCTTCCTGTCTCCAAAGAAAAGGTTCCCAATGGGATATACCAAAGCAAAATTGCTGCAACATTTTCCTATTTTTCCCCACCCAAGAGAGAGACAATTAAAAAAGGGAGAAACGAATCCTGAAGAATTCTTCCGGCATTTGGGCTCTACTTTTCTGGTTCTTTCCATTTATAATTTAAATTTTAATTTAAATGAAACATTTTTGTAAACAGCAGCAACGCTTCTACAGTGAGAAACAAAGTGAAGAGTTAAGAAGCGTTCGTTGAAGTAATTAGAGAAAGCTGAACTGCAATATTGCGGAAGATCCCACCCAAACCGCTCCATCAAGGTATATGGAGGGAAAGTAGCAAATAAGTTTGTGCAAAATCAAACCGTCCAGCAATATTAGCCGTGCTTGGCAGAGGATACGATTCTGAAACCAAAGCGGTGCTAATGCTGGAGAAGTAAAATCTGCGAAGTTTGTTTCAGCTCCTTTAGGCCAGTGTCCCTCTCAGACGTCCTTCGCCTTTCCTTGTGCATTCCTGTTAGGATCTTGAATTCGATTCCTGAATTCTTAACTAAAACCAAACATGATTTCATCCAAACAAAGCAGGGGAGATTCCTGAAGCTAAATGTGGTGTGTCCATAAACACAGCCTTTTGGAGACAGTCACCGCTTCATACATGCACTCCAGCAAACCTCACCAGGGACATCCATCAAATCCACAACACTTCCACGCCTTTTGGGTTTTTTTTAAATATCAGCTCGACATGTGAGAACCACGAGGCTGGCTCTTGCAAGCAGCCTCCCAGGAAAAAGGCTCTACATAGCAGTTACTTCTCAGGCGACATTGAACTTCTCTTTCAAAAACCTGGAAGGATGGAGAAGGTAGATTAACTGTAAGGTGGTAATGCTAAAAGGGGAGAGGCAGCAGCGCTCTTGAAGACACCCGTGGAGAGAGGACACCTAAACCTTCAGGGACGTGCAGGTCCCGCCAGACAAGCTGTGCCCAGCCCCGGCGGCGTCCTGCCTCGGGGGAGCACGGGCTGGCAGCAGAATCCCAGTGACCCCGCAGATGTAAGTTGGCTTCCCCCTTTTTCTTTGCCACAGGGGTTTTTTCCCCCCTTTCATTTAACGCTGCAGAAGGGAACATCTTACGGGAATGGCATTATCATAAAATGAGCTGGAGCCCCCGTTACCTCTAGCCACCACATTTTGGAAGCGGCTTTCCGCCGCTGGGCAGTGTCAGAGAAGGAGCAGTAGCAGAGGACACGGGGAGCCCGCGGCACCCGCCTGCCTCGTGCCTGCCGGCGGCAGCGGTTACCTGATCCCGCTCGAGAGGATGTATTTCTCTTCCCTCACATCATCTGCTGGGGGGGACTCGCAGGCCATTCATCCCGACGGCGCTAGCGCGGATGATAAGTCACCCGGGCAGGCTTAGAGCGAGATAGCTAATAAAATCCAGAAGAGGTTTACAAGGGTTTTGATGTTGGAGACGCCGATCGAGGCGGCACTCGCCGTCGCAGCTGAAGAGATTAACTCAAACGGGGCCGGTCAGGAGTCCGGGCTCCTCGTAGAAAATCACCGCTGACTTGCACCGTCACCTCGGGGAAGCCGCTTATTCTTGTGCCGCTGTTCGTTACCTGCCTGGAAAACAGCGACGCTATTTCCGTCGCCTGCAGAAGTGTTTTAAGACGTCCCTGATGTGTGTTTTGCGATCCTGGGATGAGAGGTGCTACGGACGGAAGGGAAAAGGTCTCCTCGTAGGGATACCTCCGGGTGCGGGTTAGCTACTGATGGCTGAGCGGAGGAAGTGGTTGTGTACCAGAACTTCTCGGGTTTTGATTAACGGCAGCCGGTCGGTGACGATGACCACGTTTGTAGGCCACAGCACCGGCCGCTGTCCTTGGCTGGCTTCGCTGGGAACGCGGCTGGAATGAGTGTCCTGATAAAAGCAGCATCATTGCAGTGCATCAATGCTGCCTCCAAAGCCCCCCCCGGGTGAGAAGCAGTGGCAGGAGGTATGGTGGGGAAGCAAAATCTTTCTTCTTTAGCTCTGGGAGCCTCTTGGTCCCCGCGGTGTGGCTGGGAGCAGTGAGGTCAGTGGAGGTGAAGGCAGGGCATGGCTGCCGGGCAGAGCCCGTGCCGCAGCCTGCTCCAACAGCGGGGCCTGGCGCAGCGGAGGCCGAATAGAAAGAATTATCCCAACGCTCATCGCCGATTGCTAAACACAGCAGAGCTTCCCTGTCATTTTGTTGTTGGCATCTTTTTAAAATGATTAAATCTGCGGAGGAACCTCCGCCTGCCTGAGGCACAGCACGAGTAATTCCCAACAACAGAAGCAGAGGAAATAGCAACCGAGTAACTTTGCTTGGCTGTTTTCATTTGTTTGTTTGTTTTAATACAAAGGCGAGTTTATTACAGCAAACCTCTCTCTAACGCCTTGATCTTTGCAGCAGCATCTCTTGGGCAGGATGGGAGAGTGAAGCTCTGCAGCCTACGGCGCCCAGTGCTGGGGGAGAAGCTCCTTGCAGAGCTGGTTTAAATGGGGAGGACCACAGTGGAGGGATGGGGACAGAGCTGGTCTTTTATCTCCATCCATGTAAGTGAATAATTTCCCTGCCAGGCATTGTGTGCTCCGGGTCTTCAGTAGCTCTCTGTTCTTCAGAAAAAAAAACCAAAACTTGTAAGAAATCTTGGGTTTAGTCCAATAAAAAACAAGAAAAAACTTTAAGCCTGGAACGTCACAGCCTCGGGAAACTGGTTGTGTCCTCATAGTCCTGGAGGGGCCCGGTGGAAGGACGAGAGGGGCCTCGGGCGCGGGGAGAGGGGCTTCAACAGCTACGCTACCTGCGAAACGCAGAAGCGAACTAGTTAATGTGTCGCGCTGAATTACTCACTCATCACAGGAGAAAGTGCTTTAGGCTGCGGGGGGGCTTAGGAAGGCCATGCTACATCAGCTTCATGCCGCCGCCAGTAACAAGGCTTCGCACCTGGCGTGGAAGTAGATTTCCTATTCCTATATCCTGTTGGTTTTAGGCTTGGAAAATATCCCATTTTTTTAAATAGGAAATCTTCCTATTTGCTATATCTTCCTAAAAGAAGAGATGGGCACCCCGCGGGGGCTGCGGAGGAGAGCGCGTGCCCAGGCACCGGCGGCTGCCGGAGACTCGCCGTTTCCTGCGATCTCACCTCCTGTCAGCATCCCGGTGCAGAACCAGCGTTTGCTCCGAGCGGCACGTGCCCCGTTTGAGACGCAGCCGAGAGCCAGCTTGACTCCCTTGCAAAGCCTCCGCTCTTCTTGCCCCGTTTACTGTGCTCGCAAGGAAACCCAGGACGGGGGGTCTAGCCTCAGCCACGAGCGCTAAGCCGCCGCGGCGCAGGGTGGGGAGGGACAGAGGCGACGGGAGCGGGACGTCTCCGCCGCTCCGATAGCGTCAGCGCGGGGAGAGAGAGAGAAGCTTGCTGGCACCAGCACGTCAGCTTAGGTCTCGAAAAAAGCATCAAAGCAGCGTTTTAGTAAGCATTTTTGTCTTCTGTTACGTTCTCCGGTAAATGTTTATGTCGGAGGGCTCTGAGGCACGTGTCTCGGACTCAGTCTGTGGAGGGTCTATGTGCAATTACAGGCTTCACCCCAGGACCTGCCCGACGACTGCGCGTTCCCGTCGCTCTCCGTAGGCGGAATCTCCTGCCCCCATTGAAGAGAGCTTTTACGGAAGGATCGTGGATCAGACGTGACCGTTTAGCTTATTTGCGCGGTAGAAATACGTGCTTGTTTTTAGCATGTTGCTGTCTTTGGCGTTATTATTTTAACCCCATGCTTTTTTTTTTTTATTGAATCTCTACCTGTTCTGTCCTTTCTTTGCGTTGTTTCCTTCTCAGCAACGAGTTGCAGCCTCTCCCAGGGACTCTACTTCCACCCTCGCTCGCTCCCCAGCTACAAACACCACCCGTCAGGCTCTGTAACACCCCGGCGAGAGCTTCGAGGCTTTGGGGAAATTTCAAAGCTCTTGAATTCCAAATCTGTTGTTTCAGGTTGCCCTCAGAGAAGGCAGAAGCCTCTATCGATTTCCACAACCTAACCAGAAAGCAGGCGTGTTTCTGCAAGCATGATTGCCATAAGCAAATCCTTCAACTACATTAGAGAAGTTGCGTTTGCGTAGCTGGGAGCATCATTCGACAAGCGCTTCCTTTACTTTTGCTCCAGCTTAAACCGCCTCCGTCCCCTCGTTTGGGCTGGTACCTCTGATTTGCAGCCTTATGGTTTTAAAGGATTAAGCCATTTTAGTTTGTAGGGTTGTTTTGCTGTTGGGTTTTTTCCCCAATCAAGCCCCAAATAATTATTCTTGTCACAACCAGATTCACTTCATTTAGGCAGCTAAACCAATACAACTGATGGGCCGTGAAAAGAAGTGCTTGTGCAACCACGTCTTCAAATTGCTTTTAAAAATAAAGGGGGGAAAGCTTCAACACATTTGAGCTTGGTTTTGTTTATATATCACTCAGACCAGTAAATGGCCGAATTCACCCTCCAACTTCTTTTACCCCGCTGCAACTACAAATATTTGAGAGACTTGTGTTCTTTGAGACTTGTGGGCTTTACTTTCTGTTTTCTCCTTTCTGGTCGGTGAGTAAGGCCATGGCTTCCCTCTCTAGAGATGCACATTAGCCCCCAAGGGAGGCTTTGTAGAGCCTTCTGTGGCAGAAAAACCATCAGGGACCTTTGTATCTTTGCCAGAGCACCCGTGAAAACATAGTCCTGCAGCTTCGATCCACGCTAATCCTGTTCATGATGGATCTTCAGCCTGGAAGGGACTACACACTTGCGGACTCGGCCTGGGGGAGCGGTTTTCCCTACGGTGCCTCAGAACCTGGGTGGTTTTTTTTTCCTGTTCGGTTTTCAATTATTTGACTCACACTCCATGGGCTTCATTTCCCGGCGCATGAACACCTGGTGGTTTCGAAGGCTGCAGTTGGCGAGGGCAGTGTCTGGAATGGAGAGTAATTACTGGCTGAGCTCAGTATAATTGTTCAGTTATTGAAAAATTTGGAAAGGCAAGCAGGGGGAATATTTGGTTAATTAAGAGCTCGTTTAATCACTGCTAAATTTAGCCTTCCAAAATAGTGCTCAGCTTCCCCGGATTTGAAAGCCTGTGCTTACCCAACACTGCCGGGGCAAGCAGGCAGGCTTTCGCTCTCGTCTTCGACTTCAGTCATGGAGATGGCACGTGCTCTTCACCTTGGGGCGGGGCTGGTCCTTATTCCCGACTAGCTCCCACCCTCCCACATTTGGCTTCACGGGCATTAAGATCTCTCTGAAGCTGCCATCGGTCTCTGGTGAGAAGTTTCATCAGAAAGAACTCACCTGTAAGCACTCAGGCACTTTTGGGACCAAATTCTCATCCGATGGGAAAAATGGCATTACAGACAGAATAGCAAAGAATGAGCATTTAATAGAGCCCAGGAAGCGCAAGCAGGAGAAAAGCCTTTGAGCCCTTCTCAATTTTCTGTTGCTGCTGATCTAACACAGTTGCTGGGCACGCATTCCTTCTGTTTGAGGTGTTTGATAATTTAAGGCTCAGAAAGCAAGTTTACCACCCAGAGGATGCTTTCTGGAACCTGGATGAACTTCCAGGGGCTCCTGGGGAGTCTGCGAGGCAGTGCTCCAGGCAAAAAAAACAAACATTTCCAGCTTGTTGTCATGTCTTTATTGTTGCACCAAGAATGTCAACTATCTGTATGCAAATTCAGGCAGGCTTGTAACGGAAAGGATTTTATTTGAGGACTTTTGGGGAGAGTTTTGAGGGAAGGACTTAAATGGGAGGTAATTTGACTCAAGATGAGTACAACTTAATTTTAAACAATGAGTTACTAGATTTGGAATAATTATTTTGCTTTGGGCTTCTTGTTTAAGTGCTTTTATCCTTTGTCCTAGATTAATTTAACACATTCTCTTCTTCATGGACAGCATCAGCCAGGTGTAACTACCGCTGCAGATATGCCAGTGGGATTTGGCTGTCAGATGGCACATGCTAGTGAAAAGGGGACTCTCCTGCCAGCATGGAAGTCAACTGCAGATGTTCAGAAAGGAGGAAAAAAGAAAAAGCAAAGCCTTGAAACCCTTGCTGACCACAGGCAGATTTATCCCCTTTGCACTTCCAAAGCGAGAAATGTTTAGAGCCTCCAAGAGCTAGCGGCTCCTCTGATCCTGGCTCTAGCATACACGGAATAAAGAGGAAGAAGAGCCTGTACTGAGCCTCATCCTTCACAATATGCTTCAGAATGAAGTGAACTTATTTTTTCTGCTAGGGAGAAGACACTAGAATAAGCCAGATCTTGTATATCTGGAGGCACAGAGTAGTTTGGGTTGGAAGGGACCTTTAAAAGGCATCTAGTCCAACCCCCTGCAAAAGGCAGGGACATCTTCAACTTACCAGTCCTTTACAAAGGCATCCATGAACTTCTTGTATTTTGCTTTTACTTTAAATGCTGCAAAAAAGGAAAAGAATTGTTAAACAGGTTTTTCAGAGCGAACTGCAAGGTCAATTCTGCAGAACAGAAGAGCCGTCAAAGTGGGTTGGTTTTAAAACCTGACAACCTTGACAGCCTCCTTGCAGCAGTGCGAAGCCACGGCATTTCTGCAGTTACCCGTGGTTACAGACCTGGTGAAGGAAATGGATCCAAACCTGTTGAGGGTTGTAACTCCCAAACAGGCAGAGCAAATGAGCTGGAGTGATAACTAGTCGAGTACTCCACTGGCTCCTTCATTGAATATTTTGCCAACCTGCTCCAAATTAATGGACCTTGTCCATTCTGCGTCTGGGCTGCTGAGGGATTGAGGAAGCTCCTGGTGGGATCTAGCTGATTTTAAATTTTTTTTTTTTTTTTTAAACAAGAGGGCAAGGCATAAGGCCTTCAAGAGATCCTGTGATTTCAAGTAGAGAAGTGATACGGGATGTTCTCTCCCTGCCCCCAAGGAAAAAAGAATCAAGTTAACCAAGTTAACATATGGGCTAGAACTGGTGTTTTCTCTCCAGTTAGTAATTTCTTCTAAATTAATAAGGCTGAGACATCTACTTTAGCAAAACAATTAAATAGTACATCAATAAAGTAACTGCCTTAAACCAGGCAAGTGACTTTGCGTCTTTCCCCCGCCTTAGTTTCATCAGCACTACAGATATTATGCCCTGGAGGGTTAAGGTTTGTGTATTCGGGGCCACTTCCACCCCCAGGGCCGTGATTTTTAGGGAGCCGGCGGCACAGCCGAGCCGGCTGGCGGTGC